CCACTGTATGACAAAAGGCATGCAATTTACCTGGCTCCACCTGAAAGGGAAAGTTTTAACCTTTCTACACAAAGCCTAACAAGATGAGGTACAGTGATTAAAACTCCCCTCTTGCATTTGTGAAAATGAAGCTTTCTTTCAAGCTGATTTAACAAGAAATAATTTTCAGGAGCTTTTTTGCTGTGTTTAATAATCTACTGATACAGCACTGAAGTTTGAAAGCTTCTGAAATGCTCCTTAGTACAACTGCACAAGCTTCAGTTGAATTCAGTGGTCAAGTTGGCCCAATCTACTCTTACATAAGAAGCATATTTAATATTTTTCCATTTTCCGTTTTTAATTACTGCGAGAATGAGAATGGCAGGTACTAACCCAGGGACATGTTCTGCTCATGGTTTAGAGCAGGCATCCTCCAGGCACATGCTTGGGGGTCCACAAGGTGCAGACTGACTCCTCTCAGGTGAACCCACCTTCTTCAGCTGAAATGACTCTTCTCTAGGTATTTCAACAAACCCATCTGGCTCTGCTGGAAATGCATCAGGCGTAATCCCTTCGTCTAGCAGAGAGATGGAGCAGGGGTCTCCAGCTAAGGACTGGTACTTCATCATCTAGTACAGTGGTCTGAAATGAGTGTGGATGTCCCCAGCAGGGTTTTGTGTGGAAACCTGTGAGCTCGGAGGAAGGAAGAACATTAAAAGCATGTAACTTCCATGGAACACACTGTTTTCGTGCAAGTGTTCTCAGATAAATCAGTGACGCAAGTTATGGCCAAAGTGAGTCCTGTATAATGGTTTGTTTGATGAAAATGATCCTGCTTGGCATTATGAGATCATTAAACTGAACTGCTGAAGAAAAAGACATTGATTTAGGCTCCCATGGGTAATAGTGTACTGGTAATTTCCTCTTAAATCCGGTATTTACAATTTTTTGGGTTGTTTTTTTTTCATTAGCAGACATAATTTAGAAAAAGACCTCATTTCACACCTAAGGCTTTCCTTAACTAGTCAAATATGTGGCTTAATTTCAGGGAAAAACACTTCTTACTACTTAATCAGGCAGAAGCACATACTTAAGAGCACTCTGTTTGAAATACCTACTCTTCCTGATCAGCAGTTGTCTGAATTTCTGTAAATATCCAATCCAGCAGGACAGCTGAAGAGTGGACAGAACTGAGAGGAACACAGTCTGAGGACTGAAGGTGATACACAAATGCTGTAGCCAAGACAATTAAAAGAAAAACAAGATTTACACAGCAAAAAAACCTACTGTATTAAACCACCCGATTTAACTGGAGACAAACAGACAAGCTCTGGAACACAAGCTTTGTTCATGTCACCTGAAGAAAAGGCTTGAGAATATAACTAGAATAGGACCCTGCCTAAGAGCTTGTCTGCTCTGTTCCCAGCCATGTAAATTAGTCTAATGAAAGACTTCTTGTACAAATTTTGCTTTGATATTACATGGAAGGAAATTGAATGATCTTCAGGCACAAAACAGAGGAGAGGATAACCCAGTATCACCCCAAGGCCAATAGAAAACAAGTCTTAGGACTGAAGGCCAAGAAAAATCAGCAGGTTTCCCCCATATGCAGCCCCAGAAGAGTTTGCTGTCCACCCGGGAAAGCAGGAGGTCATCAGCCTGGGCATGAGGCTAGCTAACCCTTGGGCTGCTGGGTGCTCTGGGATTGGACTTTTGCTGTTGGATGTAGTGCAGACACTTCAGAATAGGAATTGTAGCTGAGGATTTATTTCTGTGTAGCTGACAAAGGCTACAACAAACATCCAAATCCTGAAAATCCTTCACTAATTAAATTGTCACTACATCTTACAAGTGCAAAACCCTGAGGCAGTTTGAAAGTGTTTCCTTAGTAACAGGGCAAACTAACACAAGAAACTGTGAAATCCTTCTAGGAAACACCAATTTCCTCTTCTCAGTTATCTTTCCCCATTCCCACTGTTTTCTTCTTGGACCTGCCTCTTTAGAAGATGTTTATGTTTTTTTGGTCAGTCTGCCCTGACCTTGCTACAGTCCTCCTGGGCAATCAGGGACAGTCAGCACACAACTGACTCATGAGGGAAGTGTCTCCCAGTTTCATAATTAGCCAAGGTTTGTCACCTCATTTGTTACCTCTAAGTCACCTCATTTTCTGCACTGATTAACAACCAACCCTTCCCAGGGCTTCTCCCCTTTCCAAATCTGCTGCTTCCTGCTCACACTTTCCTCTTCTGTTAGCAAAGCTTTGAAACCTACTAAGAATTAGTTTGGGTTTAGGTTTAAGACTTTGGCAAATTAGCCCGTAGTCGAGGAAGACAACCTGTCTGCCTGGTCCCAATTAAGATCTCATGATAGGCACTCCTGATGCTTTCCTCAGACAACATGCATAAGGTAATCACTGTAATTTTCCCCTTCCTGTTTTCCCCCTGGTGTTCTGTATATATACACTAATATTAATCTATTCGCTAAATTAGGAAACCTGTATAATTAGTGTGTACCTTTCTCCTCCCTGGATCGCTCTTGGTCAGAGATTTGTTGTTGGAATGTTCCCAGTTCTGTCCTTAAATACACTGTGGCCATAAAGCTACTGAAAACATCAGCTTTCTACTGCCAAATGGCAATTTCTGTCCACTGTCAGGTAAGAGAGATAATGAGTAATAGACGAGCACCAGAAACATTAATGGTTTGTTTTTTACCTCTTATGGAAACCCCCCTCTCCCCCCAGTTTTAGCTATCTTATTAAAACTAGTATAATCCTTAAAAACTACATTTTTAATCTGTTTAGGACACTTTGTTCCTGGGAAAGCATGAATGAGGGGGATTAAATTGTACCTGTACTATACTTTTCTTGGTGATTGGTAATTATGTTGTCACTCAGGATGCTATTAATTGCATTTAGCTGCATGGGACTGAGGAAAAACATGACATTTCCTGTACTAGACATAATGAGAATATATGGCTTTTCATAGAATCAACCATCAGTGAGGAACAGGAGTAAACAAAACATGGGAGAGTTGTACTTGGAGCAGAGGATTTTTTACTTCAAGCCATAGTATAAAACATTTATACTTTCCCTGGAAAATACAAATGGGGAGGTAACAGGTGCAATGCCAAATTTAGGTGAACAGCAAGCGCTGATTTTTTATCTGTTGCTTTTTCAACCAGCCTGTCACCCAACAAAAGCATTGCATTTGAGAAACTTCCCATACACATTCCAGCCAGTAACTCTGCCCTTTAGAAAAGAGCAACCATTTTTCTTGTCTCAGTTTTTGGATGAATAATCTGAGGTATCTTCAAAAAGCCACAGATTAAAAAAAACATGAGCAAACTAACCATGCTCTGGAAATAACACACCTGTCAGCAAACAGTCTTTGCCCACCCAGCTTCCTGAAAGAGTACACATCTAATCTTGGCTAGTAAGTCTGTCATGAGGATGAACACAATTCTTTTGGACCCAGCTTCACTGCAATCAAGTGTATTTTCCTAATTCTTGGTTGGAATCTGTATACTGAAAAGCTCTGATGCAAAAGGTGTGGTGCAAACGCAGTGCTTCTGTTAAAATGAAAAACAAAACCCCAGCCCCCAAGCAAATAAAAAAGCACCTTTTTTTGGCAGAGTGGCATACTGAATAAACTGCACCATTAACGTGTTCTTAGAAGTTTTAAGTAGGAAACTGGTATGTTTATTTCAAAAATTCTGACTTCCATGAATCATAAACTGACAATTTGTCAAAGAATTTGACAAATGAACAGTTAACTCAGGAGAGGACCAAATCAGTACACAAAGAGTAGGCTTGTTTGCATCCTAGTTAAGACGTTTTAATCCAAGTTAGGAGGTGTTTTTGCAACCAAAGTGGTTCTACACAACATTTTGGCCTAAATGAGCCATATCTCCTGCATCATATGTCAGGCAGAAATTTTCTAGGCTGTGTTCACATGAGTATCACAGCAGAAGCTAACACTGCATGAAGTCTTTGCTTCCACTTTTAATAAATGTCAGTTGCCATGATCACAGTATTTTGAGGACTAATCTTGCAGAGCTTTCAACAGGGACCTCTTTTTGATACTTACTGGTAGACATTAAATGCTTCTGGGAGGTTATTTTCTCTTGTCAGGGTCACCATGACTTGTGTTTTTTTTAAAAATAACATCCCCCTCGTAACAGTCTTTTTCCTTCCCTTGTACAACTTGCTGGCAAATTAAAACTCAGGAGATTTTTTTTGTTTTAATCTTTATCAACTGCTGTAAAGTCAGCACACCTGGGGCAAGAGGATCAACACAGGAAGTACTAACATTTTTAGGAACGCAAAAGGAACACAGAGAAAACAGAAACGACCCAGAACAGATGCTGCAAAAATTACTTTTTTATCAGTTAACATTGTAAATTGCCATGGAAAATTCAAGAGGTGCTCACAGCTGATATTATTCTTTTTCTTTTATCAAAGAGGCTTAGTTTTACAAAAGTAAGAAAAGCAAAGGTTTAATCTTCTTGTAGAAAACTGGGCACTGTTGTGCTTTTCTGTACAGTTCTCACCTCTGTAAAGCCCACCAATGGCCAGTGCCACCCTCCCTGACACTGCAGCTGGGCCTCAAGGTGACATTAATGACTGATCTGCAACAAAAGGGAAGCAGGACTCCCTCGTGGTATATTTAAAATATGGTTATAAACATATGTGCCATTCCAGTCATGCTCAGGAGTTTTGACACTTTCTCCATGTTGGATGCTTTGAATTAGGAAAACTCAAAACCTTTTATTAGGTAGAAAGGTTCTTTCATTACTCATGGAATTATTAGGGATGCTGTCATGGACTGTAAAGATCAATACAATGTCTAATGCATCCTTAGTTGTGGTGTTTCTTAGAGCTACCTTCCTGTTTCCACTGCAGGTTGTATATTCCAAGTGTGGGGTGTGCTTTTGGAAATCATTCACTACTGAGGTTATTGTACTATGAAGCAGGAATTTCTTTCAGTAATTTACTATATATATGTACTCAATAAGACCTCATGTTTTAAAATGCCTAACCTTATACAGAAGTATAGAAAGCCTTATTTATTGTGCCGAGACAGCTTTTTCATACACTTCAAATTTGTACTGGATGCCATTCTCTTCTTGGATATCAGCAGGGACACCTGGGTATCTGGAGAGAAGGGAGAAGAAAAAGCAAAGGCAACAAGTAAATAAAAGTATCACTATGAGTCACCTGCCATCTATCCCATCAATTAGAAAAGAGAGTTGTTTGAAAAAGGAGATGAAAACACCATCCCTACCACAGGTATACCAAGCACAACCTACTTTTAGAAATCATTAGAAACTACTATCAGCAACTTGTACACACATCTTTCTAAATCAAGAAAGCATACTGTGATGTAAAAAAATCCACCACCCTTATGGCTTAATACAAAAAAAAACCCTCAACATTTTTATTAAACCCTCCAACACTTTATTTAACATGTCTGCACAGGCAGAATAGATTCAGAACACATTTAGGTTTTGCTGTTTTGCTTTTCCTCAGATGGATGAGAAAATGCTAAGGTAAAAGTTTCTCACAAGTCTACAAAAGCTTCTTAAAGCAGCTGGCTCCTACCATGCCAAGTGTTCCTCTGTATTCCAGATTTATTTAAACACTTTTTATGAATAGACACTTAAAAAATCTGTTTGGCTCCATTTTGCCTTTTATTTGCTAGGTTTCATTCTACCAGATTTCCACTTTGGTGATGGAATTACCTGCTGTGTTGTAAATTCATGCTTTAAGGCCAAATTCTGATTGCAGGACACTGGCCAAAATCAATCCATACCTGAGGAACAGCCAGGATGGAGAAAAGAGAGCTCTAGGTCAGACATGAGGTGGGCTCATCAGATGGCACAGAGCACTTCAGAACATGTTAGAATTGAGAAAGGTGACTTCTACTTCCCAGCCATCTTGTTTGTCTCTCCTGTATCCTTCTGTCTTGCCTTTAGCTGTTCTCCCCCACTGTAGTGCTAATCCATTCCTGTGCCCCATTGCAGGGAGCTTGTCTTGCCATGCTTTCTGTTTCTTCCACTGCTGGTCTGTAACCAGCTGGGAACCAAAACGAGAGTAGCAAGAAGAGGATGTCCTCTCCTTCCTGGTTCTTGAGGCAGACATTTGCATCTTTGCCACCTTTTTACTGCCCGTTGGATATAATCTTCTTGGAGAGGACATGAAAGTAAGATATGGAATATGGCAAGGATAACATAGAAGAAACCAGAGTGAATGACAGAAACTTACAGTTTAATAGTTGTTCATCCTAAGTTTGTTAGTAAGAAGTAATTTTCTCAAGAGAAAGGAATAACTTTATGAATCTGTAAAAGCTCAACCATCCCTGCCCAACTGCATTTAATTAATCTTTGGCAATTTATCAGACATCTAGAGGCTAAATCCCATTGACTAACAACACACTGGGAGTTATAAAGGTTAGTAAATACTTGAGTAATTCTAAAGTGAGAAAACAGTAAGAAAGTTATTTTTCAAGCAAACAAACAATAGGAATTCTTTACTGTAAAAGTTATGGAAGGCTGAAGAACACAAGTTCCAACAACCCCTCTGTGCTCAGTGAGGTACAATTCCAGGTTCTAACTAAAATATGACTGAGGAAAAATACAGTGAAAAGCACCCCCAATTCAAACCAGAACGTGGCTTTAATAGGGCCCATCTGCATCCAAATTAGATTAATAATTCTTCCATCTGAACACAAGACTAATATGCATCTTGATACTCACTCAGTGAGAAGTTTGTAGTCTTTGTCAATTTCTGGAAAAAATGTGTCACTTTCAAACTCCTGCAAAATTCTTGTCACAAACAATCGATGGTTAATTGGCTTCTCCATTGCTGCCTTTAAAACCAACAGAAACAACTGAGTTGTTACCTGTAAAGCAGGTCAACCGTGCATGAAGTAGTGTTGCTTATTAAAATTGTTAATATTGTTTGAAGCCTGTAAGATAATACAATGTACACATTCCTATTTGGAACACTAGCTTTCTTTGCCAACTCTCCGAATTCTTGTTCTGCCTGCACCAGCCATCACCATGGCAGCATTCACAGAATCACAGAATTCTTGTGTTTGGAGAAGACATTTAAGATCATTGAGTCCAATCACACTCTCTGACTGCATCTTTGCCAGCTGCCCAAGCACCAGTGGCTACTGGACCATGCAATCAGCTGAAAGGTAATTGCCAGTTATCTTTGCCTATTCTCTATTTGCAGGCTGCATTTCAAAAATGCTATCTAAAACTGAAACTGGAGTTAGTTTGTTTTTGGTTTTTTTTTTACAGGGTTTAAGCATTTTTTACATGGTTTACATTTCCATTTTTTACATGGTTTAAGCCATTCTCATTAGAGAATGGCTTGAAGTGAAAATTGAACTAGACATCTTCTCTTTTGGACTGGGACCAACAGCTCTTTCTAAAGGGACAATTTAATCTTGTGCCAGTCCCACCTGGTAAGTGGCAGCAATACCTACTCATAGAGCCTGGGGCATCTGAGAGAAATTAAGAAAAAAATTAGCAGTCCTGTGAGAAGAAACAAGCACTATGGTCTAGTCTCAACAAGCAATTCCTGAATCACACGTCCTTGAAAAAAAGGAAGCTTTAAGTGGTGAGAGAGGCCTACATCTCAACAGAATTTTTTTCCAGCGTTTAATTAATATGACTGCTAAGGATTTATAATGTATCTTTACTCTGCGTTAGTTTTCAGTTCCAGTGAACAAATTATCTACCAGTTCAACTTCAAAGTTTGATCGCTGGATTATTCAAAGTGCATTTCAGTGCATAATATGTACTGAAATACCATATATATGGCTATATAACCACAACAATGGACACTTCCAAGCTCCCTGGATGAAAAAAATTAGGTGAGTTCCTCACTAGTAAATTCACACAAAATTGGAGGTAAACATTTGTTTGTCTCCAGTCTGGAAAGTCACCTCTTGCAGACATTCTCAGCATTAAAATAACCTATTATATACTATACTATACTATATATAGTGGTATATAAACTATACTATATATATATAGCTATACTGGTGCCTGGTTATATTTTTAAATAGCTTACAGCTGTCTCTCCCTTTCCCAGTTTTAAACTGGCAATGAACAAAGCTCTTTGCTGAAGGTGATTCACCATGCAGCCTGCTATTTAGGTACGACTTTGACAAGTACAGAAGCCAAGTGATAGCAAATTTAATCCAATGAAATTAATTGGTATTATCGCTCAGAAGTTAAATTTCTAGAAAGCTGCTCTTTCATTAGAGAATGGCTTAAAATGGAAGGGGTAAGACACAGCACAGCAGCATCCAAAGCTCTAAACTGATGCTCATCTGATTTGTATAAAAATACCACATTTTTTCTTTCTTTAAATAAGATTGGGAGGTAAAAGGAGAAACACCTGCAGAATGACAGAAGAATAATAATCTGCATCACAAATAAAAACATGCTGTATTCTGTAAACAGAGCTACTTCTGTTTTGTTGTAGAGGAATAAATCAACTTCCTATCCAGCTTTATGGGAATTCAGCTTCAGCAAGAACTTTGTACCATCAAGGCAGGTCAGGGAAGAGGCTACAGAGTGACTGAGGACAGATACTGCAATGAAAGCTGAACTGAGTGTTAAGGTGACCAGAGGGTGACGTCCACTGTAGATAAACAGTTGCATTAGTTGAATGAACCAACCATCTGTGTAATTGTTTGTTCCCAGGTTAATAAAAAAAGTGCAAAAGCTTCCCAAGTTAGCCAGACCAGCCCTGGGTGGGTTCTGTGTGCATTCCTGGCCCCTGAAAAGTAAACAACAAACAAAAAGAACTTGGAGAAGAACAACAGGCTCGAGCTGGTTTCAACCCACATGTTCCTTCTCATCAGCCTGGAATGCCCAGCATCATGGCAGCAAGCAATGAGCAAGGAGAAACACATTTGTGAAGTGATTCCACTTTGTATGTCAGGGACTCTGCTCCAGTGCAATTTTCACTTTTATGGGATATAAGTACATAGTTGAATCATGTAATGGTTGAGTATCTTGGCCTTGGGCTGTCCCCGTGGCCCCAGCCAGTCATCCCAGGGCTATGTCTGACTCTGGTTACTTCCATGGGGCCTGATCCTGCCCTGTGGACCTGTCTCATCACCATGAGCCCTGGCTAGTGAGGCCCATGTAAGTCAGGTTGTTGTGCCTGGGGCCCAGCTCCTGTCCCTTTGGGAGCAGCTGGTACTCCATGTGCCCTAACAGTAACTTCATAGAACTTCAGATAAATTACTTTGTTTGTATCAAGCATTGCCACCTGGAGTCTCTAAAGCAACCCCTTGGGAGAGGAACGGACTCTGACACTACTGCTACAGACCTGGCAGTATGGGTAGGAACTTTGTCACAACTCTGGCATTTGCAAAAGGATAAAGCTAGTTTCTTACTAACATTCAATTCACTCCTGCCCTGTCCAGCCCACTTCATCAGTGCAACATGACTTTGTTTTAATCTAACATATAGCTAAGCTGAAGGTATAGTCTTGAATATTTAAACAAAATGTGCAGTTATTAAATACATTTCTAGTGATCAGGCAATACTATGGGAAGCTAGCACAATATTCAACAGACAGACCATTTCCAATGAGTAGATCAGTTCTGCCTTTTTTGGTTTTGTGTATTTGGTAAATATCAGGATAACGTATCTGGTGTAAAAGACAGTAAGAGGGTATTTGTTGGGAGGAATTGTACCAGGGCAAGAGGAGGAGAATTTTAAAACAAAATTATGATGTCTCTGAGCTCATGCTTCTGTAAATTTGAAAAATCTGCATCCTTACTCCACAGCCATTACATTCCCCTTACTCCACTGCCACACTGGGTCTCAAAGTCATTCTTATTTTAGTTTACTATGTTTTTCCCTCATAAACCCCTCAGTTATCCTTAGACCTGCACTAGTTTCCCTTGGCAGTTTACATACTTGTTTGCTCTCCACACAGGCACATCTTCTTGTGTTGCAGATACTGAACCTCTAAAGAAATTACAATCTGATGCAGCAGGAAAAAACAAATTTTGTTTCAAGTGAAAGCACAGCCTATTAAAACTGTGGCTCTTGACCCATCAGAAACACCAGAACCACTGCTCAAGCAGAGATGATTTTCAACAAGAGAGGAAGGACAGGAGCCCTGAGGTGTCAGGATCCCTCTTGTTGTCCCAGGTATGTCAACCTTGTATGTGAACCAGAATCCTTTATTACTTACATATCTCTTCATAACCCCGTGGAAGATTTCAGCATACCCTGACTTTTTGCTGAATTCCAAGAAACCCTCAGGAGGCCTAGCCTCTGTAGCATAAAGCAAAAAGGAGATGATGTAAGGATCATCTTCTCCATCATCTCCAGCTGCACTGGCCTGACAGCCATACAAGATTAGATTATGTCTGCCTGTGCAGGACCATTGCCTTGAGTTAGTTTCCTGTTGTAGAACGCAGGTTAAAGCAGCCCTAAGTCTCTGCAACAAGGAACAGGTGTGCATTACAAGTAATTTTCAGAAGTATTATACAGAAAATTAATCTTATATACATCTCATCACGAAACCACTGTCAACTAATGGGCATAGCAACCAGTTGCTGCAGAAGAGACCCATTCTTTCTAGTGATGTAAAGATTCACAGGGTTGAAAACACAGACAAATTGCTTCTGCTTTCTTATCAATTGCAGAAAATAAGGAAAACAGCCAAAATAACTACGTGAGGCATTTATTTTTCAAGGGTCCTTGTATTGCTGGACAACAACATTGCCAATCCAAACAAAATATGAGACTATTACAAAAGAGAACATTTAAAAAAAACCACTCTATTTGCATTTTGGTTTTCAACCCTTAAAATGTATTGGATTTTACAGGCAACCTGCATTTTGATGCCACAAAAGTATTTTAATACCTATTTTTTACATTAAAGAAATCTTACAGCTGAAGATCTCACAAAGTTCTAGTTCTTACCTTGGTAAACAGATTTGCTTAAGTTGAACTTTGGCTATTAGGGGAGTTGTGATGATTGACAGGAGAATCAACACCTCTAGAAATCCTTCCTTCCCACACTGCTAGGGCCCAGCTTAGCCAGGAAGGGAACAGCCCTTTCTTCCCAAGCCACCAAGGCTAAGCTTAGTGAGGGGACACTGTGTTAGTTCCCACCAGCAGTTCTCTGCCAGGGACAAAGGGAAGTGCAACAAAAATCTTCTACAAGCCGTACCAAAAAAATTGCCCATTTTGTCCTTGCAGATACAGATATACTTTAGCCACTAGATTTTTCTAAGTGTTAGTCTTAAGGGAAGGTCTTCTAAATCTTTTCCTCTGTAATCTCTGCAAGCATACTTGAAAAAGAACTTTAAAAGAAACCTTTCATAGCTGCATGATTTATGTCTGCAACTGACTCATATATTAACCTTTTTTAGTCATTTTTTTCCCAGAGGAATGTTAAATCAATGTGTTTGTTCACAAGAACAAGCACACACAAAAACCTTGTTTAGAAATAATAGCAATATTACACCTTTCTTTCCACATAACAAATCCTCTGAGTTTCTCTGGAAGAGTACTGGAAAGGCTGGATATGTCATTCTCAAGTCATGCTAAACTGAAGAATGATGCTAAACTGAAGAAAATTATTAAACTTTTAAACAAAATTATTAGTTGATCCACTGGCTAATATTGTAGTTCTGATTCCTCTAATTTTATTAATAACTAGTTAAGAACAAGAAGGATTGGCCATCAGTGGTATGACTACAATAGTCATGGGTATATTTTTTACAAAATATAAATCTCCATGGGAGGACAGTGCTGCCAGCTGTAATGCTGTGACCCTGCCACTTTTGTATAAAAGAGATAGTAGGGAATTGCACAG